GCGGTAGCGGTAGTGGTAGTGGTAGTGGTAGTGGTAGTGGTAGTGGTAGTGGTAGTGGTAGTGGTAGCGGTAGTAGGAAAAAATAGTAGTAATAGTAGTAGTAGTAGTAGTAGTAGCAGCAGCAGCAGGAGTCGCAGCGAAACTATTTCAGCACAGCCCGTTTTAGGCCTGGCGACGCTTGTTCTGCTCCCACCGGATGGAGCTTTCGGCGACCACATCAGCGGCAGACCACTCTTCCGTTCCTGCCAGCTGCTTCTTCAGTTTCTCGAACTTGTCTGCCGTCCAGTTCGCCTTGGACAACTCCCGCTCGAAGAGGCGGAGGGCATTGCGTGCCTCACTCTCAGTAACTCCCTTGCCGATGAAGCGTTTCTCCAGGCGCTGCAGTCGTCCCAATGTCTTCAGGTTGTCTTCCCCGGCCTCACAACTGTCTGGACGAATGGCACCTGTGTCCGCGGCCATGCGAAACAAGAGCTCTGAGATCTCTTCCAGCTTTTTGTCCCGCACCTCCTGTGTGACATTTTTTGGCTGCGCCACCCGAACCTGGAGCACCCAGGTGTCGTTGCCAAAGGGCCTGCCAAAGGGTGAACAGATCAGGGCCTGCCTGTCGCTGCTTTCAAGTGGTCACTGTGCAGAAAGCATCGCAGCACTGCCTGCGGAGTGTAAAGGCCCAGAACTTCTCGCGCTTGCCACGGTACTGGTGAAAGGCCTCCGACGTTAAGCTTCCGCAGCTCCACTACCCAGAAAGACTTACTTGGGCTCGGAGTTGGCAAGACCACAAGCTCTCTTCATTCTCTGTACTCCTTAGACGGCCTCCTTCCGCACCCAGCCATGCGCTTCGTCCTGTCAAGAGCATTGCTGGGCTGGGGCGATTCCTCTGCCATGTAGCATCAATCGTGTTCAATCTCATCGGCATAGGAGGACGTAGAAGGTTGACCCTTCGCTCCTCCTAGGATGCCTCCAAAGCCCAAAACGTGAAGCCATAATCCCTCAGTCGAAGCAAGAGCCCGTAACCCTTGGCCTCCTTGCTGATTGGTCCTGACTCACCGACATCTTCACCTTCCGCAACACTGTAGTCAGATCTTGCCAAAAGAGACACACACAATCACACAAGACATAAACGGGATTGTGCAAACTGAAGATGGACTGCGCAAACAAGCTGTCCGCAAACAGGGCTGGGAGGCCTCCAAACTTGGATTGTGCAAACCCGCAACAAACTCTGCTAAACTCGAAGCTTGACGCCTCTTCTAACGACGTCCCCACATTTATCTGGCCCGGGGTCACCCAGACGCCCAGACGCCTACTGTAACACCAGGCAGGCACTTCTTCTACAACTCCCATTCAACTTTCCAGATGCAAAGACGGGTGCTGACAGGATATGTGTGGTTGGCGGGAGCCTACGATACTCACTACACTCACAACTTTCTACCAGCCAAACCCGATGGACCCTCCAGTTGAGCCAAGTCACTATCTGACTCCTTTAGTGCAGCCACCTTCGTTGGGGCTGCTGGCGCTTCCCTGGCATGCACCGGTCGCAGTCGGCTTTTTGAGATCCCTCTACAATACAACGGTATGATGTCTCTGCACGGGGATGTTCCGGACCACACGGGAATCCGGAACCTAGTGAAAAAAAAGACTGTCAATATTGAGACCTTGAGGCCCCGGCTTGGCCCGAGTCAGATGCCCCCGGAGGACGAGTTTCCAGTCCTGAAGTCAAAAGTCAGCCCCCATCTTCGGCCCAAGGCTTGTCCGCGCGTGTTGGACATGCGGCGGATCTGCACATCTCAAACCGCTTGGCTTAAGACGCATGCCCAATGCAAATTGGATTCAGCTCGCTGGGCCTAACCAATGTAGAAGCCAAAAGTGCGATTGCAGGAGTTGCAGCCAGCCGACGGACTTTATTCCAAGTCAATGAACTTCGAACTGGGAACCTATGACGCTCCAACATCTGAAGCCAGGTGCCTCGATCAGGCCTTTGGCCTCGGTGACGACTTGGACCTCGAAACACTCTTCTCTGGAATCTGAAAAGCTTCCACGTGGCTTCAGTGACCAAAGGTCAGCACACACGGCATCTTGTCGAGAAAAGCTACACGCCTTCGAAAAGAATGTAGCCAAAGGCAGAACTTTTGATCATCACAGCCTCATCATGGTGAAGATATCTCCGAACAAGGCGGCCGAGTTGGGTCTGTCGGAGCAGGTCCACCGAGACCTCCCCACTTGCAGCCGAGGAAAGGAGACTTGCAGAATACGGCCCGGAATGCGATATGAAGCACACGGTCTTTGGAAGAAACAAGACCGTGCCACATGAAGTGGTTTTCTACGGTGCGAGCGCGTCTACCGAAAGAGCTTCGTGGCAGACGACTGCTTGCACGTAAAAGCTTCAAGCACTTGAACAAACCGCTTTGCACAGCTGCTACCAAGACTGACGCAGCAACACTACCTGAGCAGCTCGAAGCTCGCAAGAAGACATCAGTAGTAAACAGCTCTTCCCTTTTAACCCTCCATTCAATTTCGAATCATCATAGGAGCATTAGGCTTTGGGCTTAGCCTGAATCTTTGTGACCATAGCCGGACACCTCATGTAAAAATGCAGACAATGGAACTCAAGACTGGTATGCTCGCTTAGCCCTTAAACCTGAAACCGTGGCGACACTGAACTAAACTGAAAGCCTAAACCCCGCGCCTCCAGGCCGCGCAGCTGCGCAAGGAGGGTTAGTGCCCGTGGCCCGTAAGCCACCCAAGATGCCAACTCCTGGAGGGACCCTGCTGGGTATTTGGTGTTTGGGCAATCAAGGCGTCTCTAGGTGAAGGCTTGGCATCGCTCCAATTCTGCTCTAAGTGCCTTGGGATAGCAGGCAAGACCGGCTGAAACTGGAAGACTGGGAACTCCCTGGAAGCGGCACTTGTACATTCGGGTCGCGCAGCGCCTCTCCTTCGGCACAGAACCTTTGAATGTAAGCCCTTTGCCTCATGATGCATCGTGAGCTGTACGTTGCAGGAAGGTTGGCTTGGTCATTTCCCCCATGGGAGTGCCACGCGTGAACGTGGTCTGGCGGTGCGGTGTGGATATTTGCGTTACACCTTTACGGGCACTGAGCAGCTGCTGGAAACTGCTCGAGCTCTGCTGCTAAGTGCATCCTCCTGCACAGCATCCAGCTCCGGAGGCAGCGTGGCCGCCATCCGGCCTCGGAGCTCGAAGTGATCTTACAACGGTGATGGCCAGCATCATTAAAGCCGTATGTCATTACTAACGGCGATTGAAACCCATGATCAGTGGGGTCTCTGCTAGCCCCTGAACTTTGGGATGAACCGAAATTGCTTCTGGATCCTCGCAAACAATGGAAGGATGGTCCGGTGGAAACGTGTTTGGCAAGCGGAGGTCCCGCAATTATTGAGGACTTACTTGTCTAGGCAGTGTCTGAAGCACCTGTGCACCGAGCAATGCCCTCATGCTAGTCTATGCTGCTGCTGCTGCTGCTGCTGCTGCTACTACTACTACTACCACCACTACCACAACCACTACCATTACCACTACCACTTCTACTACTACTACTACTACTACCACCACTACCACAACCACAACCACTACCATTACCACTACCACTTCTTCTACTACTACTAC